GAATTTAATTCACTTTCACATTACAAGTGCACCCTGATATACTTATAAAACCACAAACAACGTTGTTCCGGGTGAGCGCGTTAAATCTTTAAACAACAGTTTGAAGTTGCCCTCCCTTCTTGTCCTTGATCAGACTTCATCCACAGTTTCACACTTGGTATCGCAATCCGACAGCTAATCTGGCTTAAACTCCATTCATTTTGAAAGCCTCTCACCGACAGCTGAAAGCCTCATTTACAGTATTCTGCAAAAAATCAGACCAAGCCTCCATGGAGTTTTGAAAATTGAAAAAAGAGGAAACTGCAAAATCTATTCATGAGACTCGAACAGTTAGTTTGGTTCCCACCAGGGTGAAACTCAAGTATAATACCCCAGGGGGCACTGCAGCTGCTGTCCTGATCACGGATTAAAGAGTAACTGGAACATACAGAAGTTGCTGAAAAATGACTTTGGCGATAAATATCCAGGCAAAGTAAAGAGACTGGGTATGTCCGCAACCGAGAATAAAGGACAGAGAGTCAGGGAACACACGTTAATCTTTAGAACGTTTATAAAAAGAAACACAAAACTTAGGGACATCAATTATACAGACCCAAAATCACTTACAAACTTAAAATGGTTCAGCAGCTTCAGTGAATTGTGGGTGGCCCTTAAAAGAGCTGTTGGGGTTTGAATGTGTGTTTTTCTCAGTACAATGTGGTGTCTCACTTGGAGCTAGTGTACTTGGTCACCGCCTTTGTACCCTCCGACACGGCGTGCTTGGCCAACTCCCCGGGCAGCAGCAGCCGCACGGCGGTCTGGATCTCCCGGGAGCTGATGGTGCTGCGCTTGTTGTAATGGGCCAGGCGGGAAGCCTCCCCCGCGATACGCTCGAAAATATCGTTGACGAACGAGTTCATGATGCCCATGGCCTTGGAGGAGATGCCGGTGTCGGGGTGAACCTGCTTCATCACTTTGTAGATGTAGATGGAGTAACTTTCTTTCCTGGATCGTTTCCTTTTCTTGCTGCCTTTGCCTGGCGCCTTCTTGATGATTTTCTTCGCGCCCTTCTTGGAAGTTGGCTGCGCTTTCTGCTCATCAGCCACAGTGACGGTCACTTTCAGACACAGAAAAAACAGGGCCCGGAGCTCACTTTTTACAGCCTGACGGCGTCAGCAATGCTAATGAAGGATGGGGGAAAGCCTTGTTCCTGATTGGGTAGTTTACAACAATGTCAATAATGACATTTAGTCTCTCTCCGAATGGTTGGTGTGGGACACAATGAGGATCTGTCAGGATCTGCAACGAAATGTGAAACGCAAACCAAAATTTTATACATGGATCAAACTCCGAACTCACTCTAAATTGAACTGATTATTGTCATTTAATGATATTTTGAACACAGTACCTGTGAGATTTTAATTGTGACAATGTGTTTTATTCTGTTCATGACAATCTTTTGTGTGTAAAATATTATTTTGTTTCATCACTATCCGAGATTTCCTTATTACGCTGTGAGCAACATTGTACTGTTAAGACATTCAGGTTTACTGAGGGACACTTTGCAAAGATTGACAGATATTCGGCAATGTGAAAATGGGAGTGCAGTTATAGGTCTGTCTGTTTATGCAGTGTGAAAGATTATTATTCTCTCACAATCTATTCCTGTCATACAGTCATAGAGATGTCCAACATGTTAACAGACCCTAGGGTCCACCTCGTCCATAGCAACCAGATATCCTAGATTAATCTAGTCCCACTTGCCAGCATTAGGTACATATCCCTCTAAACCTTTCCTTTTCATATACTCATCAAGAAGCCTTTTAAATGTTGTAGTTTTATCAGCCTCCGCCACTTCTTATGGCTTTCAATCCATAAACACACCACTCAGTGTGTGTGTAAATGTTGCCCCTTCAATTCCTTTTAAATCTTTCTCCTCTCACCTTAAACCTACATCCTCTAGTTTTGGATTCTTCTACCCTGGGGAGAAGATATTGATTGCTCACCTTATCCACATCCCTCATAATTTTATAAATATCGATAAGGTCTCCACTCAGTCTCCAACACACCAAGGAAATATAAAACTGCTGATTCAGGAATAAATAAAGAACTGCCTATTCAGTCTCTCCCTACAGCTCAAACTCTCCACCCATGAAAACATCCTTGTAAACCATTTCTAAACCGTTTCAAGTTTAACAACATCTTTCATATAGCAAGGTGAGACCAGAAGTGAATGCAGTATTCCAAAAGTGGCCGAACCTGTGTTTTGTGCAGCCACATGACCTCCCAATCTATACACTCAATGCACTGACCAATCAAACACCTTCCTCACTGCCCTGTCTACCTATAATTCCACTTTGAAGGAGCTATGAACCTGCACTCCAAGGCCTCTTGGTTTGGCAACACTTCCCTGGAGCTTACCATTACATGTGCATGTCCTGCCCTGACTTTCCCTCAACTTGTAGCACCTCATTTTTCAAGATTAAGCTCCAGTTGCCACTCCCTGGCCCATTGGTCCTTTTGGTCAAGGTCCCATTGTAGTTTGAGGTCATAGAGTCACACAGTAATACTGTATGGACAAAGGCTCTTGAACCCAAACAGGTTCATGCTGACCATGGTGCCCACTCAGCGAGTTCCAATTGCCCGCATTTGGTCCATCTCCCTCTAAACTCTTCCCATCCATGTACCTATTCAAATATTTTATTAGATGTTGCTATTGTACCTGCCTCAACCACTTCCTCTGGCAGCCTATTCCACATGTGCACCATTCTCTGCATGAAGAAGTTGCCCCTCAGGATCTTCTTAAATCCTTGCCCTCTCACCTGAAACCTATGTCCTCTAGTTTTCAATTCCCCATCCCTGGGCAAAAAACACTATATGCATTTATCATATCTATGCCCCTCATGATTTTATACACCTCAATAAGGTCACACCTCATTCTCCTATGTTCCAAGAAATTCTGATCAACCTCTCCCTGTAACTCAGGCCCACCAGTCCTGTGTAAATCTTCTTTGAATGCTTTCCAGTTGAACTATGTCTTTTCTGTAACCGGGCAACCAAAACTGTACACAATACTCCAAGTGTGGTCTCACCGCCGACTGAGACAACTGTCATATAATGTCCCAAGTCCTATACTCAATGCCTTAATCAATGAAGGCTCACATGCCAAATGCCTTTTTCAGGACCTTATCCACCTGTGACGCTGCTTTCAACGAACTATGTACTTGTACTCCTCGGTCCCTCTGTTTCACAACACTCCTCAGGACCTTACCATTTACTGAATAAGGCCTACTTTGGTTTGACTTTCCACAGTGCAACACCTCACGCTTATCTGTATTGAATTGCATTTTCCAATCCTCAGCCCACTTCCCCATCTGATCAAGATCCCTCTAATTTTTGATAACATTCCTCACTATCAATGATACCTTCGAATTTTGCATCATCCGCAAATTTACTAATCATGCCTTGTGCATTCATATCCGGAACATTTACGTTAATAACAAACAACAAAGGTCACAGCACCGACCCTTGTGGCACACCACAAGTCACAGGCCTCCAGTCCAAGAAACAACCTTCAACCATCACCCTCTGCTTCCAACCATCAAGCCAATTTTTAATCCAATTAGCTCGCTTTCCCTGGATCCCATGCAACCTAACATTAGGACATAGAACAATACAGCACAGTACAGGCCCTTCGGCCCACAATGTTGTGCCAAACATTTACCCTAATCCTAAGGTCTATCTAACCTCCACCCCCACTTTATACTATCATCCATATGCCTGTCTAATAGCCGATTAAATGCCCCGAATGAGGCCGACTCCACTACCCTCTCCGGCAATGCATTCCACACCCCGACCACTCTCTGTGTAAAAAGCCTACCTCTGATATCTCCCCTATATCTATCTCCAATCACTTTAAAACTATGCCCCCTCGTAATAGCTACCTCCACCCGAGGAAAAAGTCTCTGGCTGTCCACTCTATCTCTCCCTCTGATCATTTTGTATACCTCTATCAAGTCACCTGTCAACCTTTGTCATTCTAAAGAGAAAAGCCTTAGCTGTCTCAACCTTTCCTCATAAGACCTTCCCTCCATTCCAGGCAACATCCTGGTAAATCTCCCCTGCACCTTTTCCAATGCTTCCACATCTTTTCTGTAATAAGACGACCGGAACTGGACACAAAAATCCAGATGTGGCCCAACCAGGATTTTGTATAGCTGGGTCATAACTTCACGGCTCTTGAACTCAATCCCTCTATTAACGAAAACGAACACACTGTACGCCTTCTTAACAACTCTATCCACCTGCGTGGCAGCTTTCAGGAAACTGTGGACATGAACCCCAAGATCCCACTGCTCCTCCACACTGCCAAGAATCTTTCCGTTAACCCTGTATTCTGCTTTCAAGTTTGTCCTTCCAAAATGAATCACCTCACACTTTTCAGGGTTAAACGCCATCTGCCACTTCTCACCCCAGCTCTGCACCCAATCAATGTTCCTTTGTAACCTCGAGCAGCCCTCCGCACTATCCACAACTCGACCCACCTTTGTATCGTCCGCGAACTTACGAAACCACCCTTCCACTCCTTCATCCAAATCATTTACGAAAATCATAAATAGAAGAGGACCCAGAACAGATCCTTGTGGTACACCACTCGTAACCGAGCAGCATTTTGAATATTTTCTGTGCACTACCACCCTTTGTCTTCTAAGAGTCAGCCAATTCTGAATCCAACCTGCCACATTTCCCCCCTATCCCATGCCTCCTTACCTTCTGCATGAGCCTACCATGGGGAACCTTATCAAACGCCTTACTTAAATCCATGGAAACCATTTCCACTGCTCTACCTTCATCTACGTGTTTGGTCACCTCTTCAAAGAATTCAATAAGGTTTGTGAGGCATGATCTACCCCTCACAAATCCATGCTGACGATCACGAATCAAACTGTGCCTTTCCAAGTGATCATAAATCCTATCTCTCAGACCCCTTACCAATAACTTGCCCACCACTGACATAAAACTGACTGGCCTGTAATTTCTGGGGTTATCCCTATTCCCTTTTTTGAATAAGGGAATGACGTTTGCCTCTCTCCAATCTTCTGGCACTATACTCGTGGACAGTGAGGACGAAAAGATCATCGCCAAAGGCCCTGCGATCTCTTCCCTCGCTTCCCACAGAATCCTTGGATAAATCCCATCAGGCCTGGGCGACTTATCTATCTTCAAGTTCCTCAAAATTCCCAGTACATCTTCCTTACTAACATCGACTTCCTCTAGCCTACCAGCCTGTTTCACACTGTCCTCCTCCACAACCAAATCCCTCTCAGTTGTGAATACCAAAGAAAAGTATTCATTAAGGACCTCTCCTATCTCTTTAGGTTCCGTGCACAAATTCCCTTTACAATCCTCGATCGGCCCTATCCTTTCTCTGGTCATTCCAGCAGTGACCCTTACCTCCCACATCCTGCAAGAGGAGCATGTAACTGCCCTAGCTTTGATTCCCTCTACTCTAGATTTCCAGAAGAATAATAAAAAAAAAGCCTTACCTTAGCCAATGCCCGAATATATTAGTTCCTACCTGGTTCATGTTCTCTGCAGACACACTCGCTCCTCCAAACAAGAGGCTGCTGCTGCACGAGGTAAGTTTTTAAAAAGGAAAAGAAAAATCTTACCTTCCCGTCAGCACCCTCGCACACACTCCCGCTGCTCCCAACCTTATTACGAGCCTGCCATGCAGGACCTTGTCAAAGGCCTTACTAAAGTCCATATAGACAACATCCACAGCCCTACCCTCATCTATCCAATTGGTTACCTCTTCAAAAAGCTTTAAAAGATTGGTCAGGCATGACTTCCCACGCACAAATGCATGCTGACTATTTCTAATCAGATCTTGACTGTCCAAATGTTGGTTGACCCTGTCCCTCAGTATCCTCTGCAATAACCTGCCTACCACTGATATCAGGCTCACTGGCCTGTAGTTCCCTGGCTTGTCTTTGCTATCTTTCTTAAAGAACAGAACAACATTAGCCACCCTCCAGTCTTCCTGAACTTCACCAGTGGCTACACATAAAGCAAAAATCTCTGCAAGGGCCTCTGCACTTTCTTGCCTAGCTGTCCACAACATCCGAGAATGGCACAGATAATTCATCCACCTGAAGGCTGCAAACACCACCTCTATGGTAATATGTATGCGGTCCAAAATATCTTCACTTCTTTCCCTTATTTCCTTGGCATCCACGATTCTATCCTCAGTAAACATGGAGGAGAAATAACCATTAAAAATCCCCATTTCCTGGGGCTCTATACGTAGGCTGCCATGCTGATTTTTAAGGGGACCTATTCTCTCCCTAGCTTCCCTTTTACTCTTAATATAGCTATAGAACTGCTTGGGATTATCTTTAACCTTATCTGCCAGATCCATCTCATTCCCTCTTTTTGCTCTTTTGATTTCCCTCTTAAGTATGCTCCGACACTTTTTATTGTTATCCAGGGATTCACTTAAGCCCAATAGCTTAAAACCAATGTATGGCTTCTTTTTTGTTTTCCTGACCAGAGCCTCAATATCCCTCAATAACTCAGCTCACCTTCTTTTCTCATGTATGTCAATTTCTGTTGTTCAAATGCATGACGTTATTAGTCTGTACCGTTCAGTTTGTTCTATGTGAATGCGTGAGTGCAGTTCTCAATCTATGCCTGTTTCTACTAGGAGAATGCTTGAGTCTTGTTACCAGTCCCTACATGTCCATTCTGCTGTATCAACATAAGAGTGCAGTAATTAATCTGAACCAATCAATTTCTGCTCCGTCAATATGTAGATTTAGTTATTAAACTTGTTGTTTCTGCTGGGCAGATGTGAGTGTAATTATCACACTGTAGCTGGGAGATTTTGTTCTGTGAATATTTTTGTGCAGTTATCACACTGTGCCAGTTTTAACTTTGTGAAAATGAGAGTGTGGTTCTAAATCTGTAACTGTCAGATTTTCCTTGGTGAGTTTGTTTGTACAATTATCAGTCTATCCCTGAAATATTCTGGTGTGTGAATGCATAATTGGAGTTATCATTCTGTCCCTATCAGTCTTTGCTATGTGAATATATGAGTGTTTCTTCCTAATTTGTCCCTGTCAGTTTCCGGTCATGTGAAAACGATAACTAATTTGCCAATCTGGTTATGTTTATTTGTGCTCTGTGAATGTTTGGCAGCAGTTATCATTCTGTACCTGTCAGGTTATGCTTGATGAATAACTTTTCAGTCTATCCATGGCAGTTTCTGTTGTAAGAATGTCAGAGTTTAGTTATCACTCTGTTGCTGCCAGGCTCTGCTACGTGAATGTTTGATTGCTTTTATCAGTCTTTCCCTTCAGTTTCTTTGATGTGCGCATGTGAGTTTGGTTATCAATTTGTACCTGCCATTTTCTGGTATGTGAATATGAGAGTTCGAATGTCAAACAGTACCTGTCAGCTTCTGCTGTGTCAATATTTGAGCGCAGTTATCAATCTGTTCCCGACAGTTTCTGATACGCAAAGGATGGGAGTATAGTTATCTATCTGTACCTGCTAGTTTCAGCTATGAAAATACATGAACGCAGTTACCAATCTATGCCTGTCAGTTTCCGCTATGTTAACATGTGAGTTGAGTTATCAATCTGTGCCTGTGAATTCCTGCTCTGTGAATATAGGACTGTCATTATCAGTGTCTATCTCAAAGTGTCCGTTATGTGAATATGTGAATTTAGTTATTGATCCATACCTGTCAGTTTGTCATGTGAATCTGTGATTGTTGTCATCAATGTGCCAGTGTCAGTTTCTGTAATTCAAATGGGTGACTGTAGTCATTAACCTGCCCCTTTCAGTTTCTGCTATGTTAATATGTGAGTGTAGTTATCCATCTATGCCTGTCAGTTCCCGCTATGTAAATATATAACTGTCATCATCAGTGTTTACCTGTCAGTCTCTGCTACGTGACTGAGAGTTCAGTAATTAATCTATACCTGACAATTTGTTAGGTTTATGCGTGTCAGTTAATATTCTGTGAAACTGGGAGAGTTATCATTAGTTTGTTCCTGTCAGTTTCTGTATTGTGAATACGAGAGTGCAGTTATCAATTTTTTCTCAGACAGTCACTGCTATGTGAATGTGAGAGTGTATTTACTAATCTGTCCCTGTCAGATTTTGTGCTGCAAATATGACAGTGTAGTTGTTAGTCAGTACCTGTCATTTTCTGTGACATGAATGTTTGTATAGTTATGATTCTCTCCCTGCCAATTTATGCAATGTGAACATGAGCCTTATATCAATCTGTACCTATCAGTTTTTGTTTTAAGCTCTGTGACTGAGTGTCATTTTCAATCTCTATAGTTTCTGCTATTACAATATTTGAGTTTAGTTATCGATCTCATGGTAGTTTCTGCCAGGTGACTATTTGAGCACAATTATCAATCTGTAACTGACACTTTCTGATATGCAAATATGGAAGTGCAGTTGTCAGCCTGTTCCTGTTGGTATGTGCAATGTAAATAAGGGAGTGTAGTTATCTGTCAAGTTTCTGTCATGTCAACCTGTGAGTGTCATGAATCTGTCCCTGAAAGTTACTGTAATATGAATGTGTGACTGTAGTTATCAACCTGTCCCTGTCATTTTCTGCCGTGGGGAGAAGATGACTGTAGTTATCAACCTGTTCCTGTAAATTTCTGGTATGTGGGAACCTGAGTATATTTATCATTCTCTTCCTGTCAGTTTCTCTTCAGTGAATATGTTTCTGAAATGATCAGTCTGTCCATGACACTGTTTTGCTACATGAGTGTTTAGTTAGCAATCTGTATCCAGCAGTTTCAGTTATGAGAGTCTGAAAGAGTAGTTATTATGGTTTTTAATCCATACAGATCAGGTACTCAAATACTCAAAAGTTTCCTACTATGTCTGTACTCAATATCAACTTCATATATGTTCATTGTAACGATGTAACAGCTTGATCTATTTGAATACTTTGATTGTAACTTTAAAAATGGCCTTGTTTAACATGCATTCAATGCAGTTATTGAGTGCATATTTGTGAAGGAGATTCAATCTATCCCTTTTCAAATGCTGTGAATGACAATAGGCTTTCAAAAATGAACTTTCCTGGAACTGTGCTAGTTTAGAGAGAAAAAATAAACATGATACATTTATATTTTGTTGGTGGTGTTTGACCCTTGGATTGAATGTATATCTCTGGAAATTGAACTCAATGCAAGTCTTACTCAATCAGCTCTGTGACCATGGAAAGGACATTCTCTGCTCTGACAGTGCAAACATACCTGTTGTTTGGTAAGAGCAGCTGGTCACACTTGGTGCTGTACCACGGAAATATTACATTATCTTGGCCCATCAAATATTTGTCTGGAAAAAGACAAAAGAGAATTCTCCTATAAATCAACATCCAAGTTTGAAAATATCAATACTGATTAGTGCAAAATTTAGTCAATACTCATGTTAATGCCTTGTTTTAAAGCTAGCAATTTGAACAGAGAAGGGTCTGGTTCCATAATTACCCTGAGCTCCTCCTCGTCGCATTCTTTTTTGAGAAATTCTAAAACAATTTACTAAGATACAAAACTAACCGACACCTGTACGGTTCCATGAATGGAATGCTTACACAGTGCAATACCCAGCTCCCAATGCACTAACTAATGAAGGGAAAAACAACAGGCACTATTTCAAATATTTTACTTGAGCCTCTTAACCCAGCGACTACTACATTTATCCTTTACAGGATTAGCATATTTGCATAAAGTGCTTTCACGATTCAATGCCAATTCGCAACAAACAACGTGAAACAGAAGCTAAACGATGATCTTCCATCAGTGTTCAGAGAATCAAAAACCAGAAGAATGACCCCCAGCAGCTTCTTGCCGCTGTGTCTCCCTCAGCAGGCCCACACACAGCCCGAGAAAGGCCTCTCTCTCTCTCCTCTCACCCCCGCCCAGGCCGCTCACTCCAACTTCCAGGACCTGTTGCGGCCCCGTTCGGCCTCTTCCAAACAGTCCCCAGTTCTCCCTGAAGTGAGCCCGAATCAATGCCGCTGTCGGAACCCCGCTCTGTGTCCCAGACTCACATCTCGATGCGCTGCTGGAAGGAGCTTGCTGTTCCCTCGCTCCCCTGGGCGCTGGTCTCTCCATTGCGGTCTGTTTCAAACAAACCTCTTCCACTCACTGAGGAAATGCTCCTCAATGGCAGCGCTGGGAGAGATCCTCACGCATGCGCTCCTCCAGTCAGCACCAAGGTTTCTTCAGGTGGGGAAAAAGGCCAGCATCGAGCATGCGCCGTTTTCCCAATGATTCCCAGAAACAAACATGAATGGGTCATTCGGAGATAACAAGGTGTAGAGCCGGATGAACACAGCAGGCCAAGCTGCATCATAGGAGCCGGAAGGCTGACGTTTCGGGTCTAGACCCTTCATCAGAAATGGGGGAGGGGAAGGGGATTCTGAAATAAATAGGGAGAGAGGGGGAGGCGGCGAAGCGATCCCCTGAAGTTTGTCTGGAGGGAGGAGGGTAACTTCTTCAGGGTAGGCATCCTTAGAATAGGCTTCCCCAATTCCCTTTACTCCCAGTTTGAGCAAAGCGGCTGGGGGCTGTGGGAGAAAGGGCAGAGAACGTTACAAGCTGGAGCATTGGCTTTGATGAAGCTCCAATGGAGCTCATTCCCGGGTCACGTTAATAGCTGCCTCCCTCCGGCTCTCTCACAATCTGATGGGGAAGCGGAGAAGCTGACGGCCATTCGGCCCTATTAATGACTCCACCGTTCAATAACATCACGTCTGATCCCACGTTAACTGCAGTATTCGATCCTGCTGTCCTTCGTCTCATATTAACTCTGTCAAAGTAACATACAGAGCGAGGGAATAAATGGGACATTCTTCCGAAGGCAGAATGTAACTGTTGGAGGGAGTCTTGCGGTGCAGTGGTAGTGTCCCTATTTATGGGTCAGGTGGACCGTGCTAAAGTCATACTCGGACCAGAGGTGTGTAATCGCATCTCTGGAACTCGCTGTACATACCAGTTTGGAGTAGATGACTGATTTTATTCTCAGCATGCTGCAGACAGAAACCTTGTGATGAACGGGGTACCGCAACGAAAGACCCAGCTGTTTTTTGTTTACTTACTCCTGGGACGTGGATGTCGCTGCCTGTCCCAGCATTGGTTGCCCATCCCTCATGGCTCCACTTGAGAAGGTGATGCTGAGCCGCCTTCGAGAACAGTTGTAGTCCACGGACTGCCCACAACGCCGCAAGCAGGCACTTCCGGGGTCTTGATCCAGCGACAGTGAAGGAAAAGGGATATATTTCTAAGTTCGGATGGTGGGTGACTTGGAGGAGAACTTGTCCGATTTCAAGGCGGTGTTCCTCCACATCAGCTGCCCAAATCCTTTTAAATTGATGGATTCGTGAGTATGGAAGATGCTCTTTTTTACGATTTACAAAATTGTCGTTTAAGAGGGCTATTCAACACAGTTTTTGATCCACGGAAGAGGTGTACAAATTGAGAAGAAAAAGAACTTGAAAGAAAAAACGCCCCTGAAGTTGGGGACCAGTTCAAAATCAGGAAAGAAAGGGAGAAATGTTTTGATTACGAAGGAGAAAATGAGGAAAAGAGTAAGCTTGCAGAAGTCATTGAAAAACTAACTGTTAATATGTTGATAAATATGAAAAAGGAAAATAGAGATAAAACTAGGTTGGTACACTCAAATATACGTCACTTACAATCAAAAAAGAGGGGAATCCATTGTGCGGAATTAAAGAAATGGTTATCCAACTGAATACTTACTGTTGTTCTATGTTTACAAATAAGGAAGGAAAAAACACACGAGGAATGTTAAGGAAAACGGAGTTTAGGGAGAGGGAGCAACTGAATCAAATCAGTATTATTCAGGAAATTATGTTTTGAAAATTGATAATATTGAAGGCTGGGAAATACCAGAGACTGATAATTTATGTCCCAGAGCACTTAACACAGTAGCCTTAGAAATGGCGGATGTATTGCTGGTCTTGCTCCAAACCTCTATACGCGCTACAATAAATTGCAAAGATTAGAGGGTAGCTAATGTAAGCAATCTATTTGAAAAGGAAGGTAGAGGAAAAAACTTGGAATTTTAGACCAGACAACCTGCAGGAAAAGAAATGATTTTATTGAAGATAATTTGGATAAAAAGTCAGGATCAGGCAGAGACAGCATGTATTTGAAAGGCCTGTTC